GTGTTTTTAGGGTTGTTAACAAAGTTCATGTACTCAGACCAGTAATATTTGGGGTCACAAGTTTTTGCCATGGATATTTTGTGGGTCAGAAGACAAAAAGTTTGGGAACCACTGTTCTAGTGTATCATAGTTTGTCTATAAGAGACTCAGATCTATGTTGTAGGTGAAAATAAATGTAAATGAGGTGACGCCTGATAAATGTTAAGCTGTTAAATCTCTGTCCGTGTGGCCTTCCCTCCATCAGTGCTTCTCATTTTAAAACAGTTTTTATCACCTTCCTCCATATTTCTCTCTCTCTCTCTCGTTTTGTGTAGATTCTTTGCAATCCATGCAACCCACACAAATCCAGTTGCACCTTTCTGTCTCTATTTAATCATTGGCTCTGTTACCGGGGATATTTTTCCCAGACAATACCTCTGAAGGTGGTGAGCCGAGCCGAGCCGGGCCGAACGAGAGATCTCTCTATCCCTCATCGCATGGAAGCCACGGCTCTGGCACTCCCGCTGACTGAGATGAATGAATTTAATATATCTCCCTTTTGAAGCACAGATGACCTCCCGATATGGCTCTCTGTCTCTCTATCGTATGAAGCTTTTTATTTATTTATTTATTTCTGCTGCTCTGCTTCTGAAATCTGGGAAAGCGCAGAGGGGATGTGAAGGGATTTTGACAGGGACTAATTTGTTTTGCAGCATGACACGGCTCATGTATATCTTTGTCCAGACAGATGCAGCCACATTTTCACCCCCCCAACCCCCCAGCCCTTTTATCATAGCTAGATAGAGCTTATCAAGAGTGTTTGTTTGTGTGCAACCTTGCCTGTTAATAATGGAAGCAACAAGCTGTGCTTTATGAGAAACACTGCATTTTGTTGCAGCTTATGAAACGAGATGAATAAATAAAATGATCATTTTCTTCACGTTAGCGAACACACGTCTTGTGGGAAATGATCAGTTCTTTGTTCGGAGCTGAGAGTGAGCTCTGCGATGCCTCCGGGATGGGTCAAAACACGACAGGAAAAATAACTTTAAAATCGATTCAATTTTGCATCGCCGGAACACCAGAGTTTTTTCGTTGTAGCTGAGCAGCTTTGGTTTGGTGCTGCAGCTGGAGCGGCCAGCAGCCTGCATGTGTGGCGGTATATTATGATGAGCCGCCGTTCTCAGCGACCCATCTCTTATTTCCTTTCCTTATTGGATCTAGAGCCCTCCTGAGACGGCGCCGACGTTAATACCCCCGGTCATTTTTTCTGTCCCTTATAACAGACCGTCCCAGGGTGCTATGTAAGTCCTACTTAATTAGGCCTCAAATTGGTTGGATTTATGCTTATCCAGATGCCAAAATGTCTTTTTATTGGGTATTTATCCCATGAGGTTGGGACCACACAGATCAAATTACACTGATTCCAGCTCAGACAAACTGCTCTACATACTGTATGTTCTCTAAACAGAATCGCTGCAGACTGATGTCAAAACCATAAAGCCTTCGCGTTTTAGAAATGAGACCCAACAGTTTAGTTAATAAACAGTCTGGGTCATAAACTTATAGTTTAAACCAGTGGTTCCCAAACTTTTTATCTTCTGACCCAAAAAATATTCATGGCAAAAACTTGTGACCCCAAATATTACTGGTCTGGCTTTGTTAATAATCCTTAAAACAAAGGCTACACAAATATAAATACTTATTTATACTTATTTTGTGTTTTTGTAATAATTATAGGGAAAATATTACATCACCAATTATTTTTATTACCCTTTAAATTGATTTCTGAAGTGCAGTGGTTCCCAAACTTTTCAGCTTTTGACCCACAAAATAACAGTAGACCTGTGCCCACAACTATTTTTGGATGATAAACATTTGTATCAGGTCAACTAAACAAGGGCATAGTAACAATATTTATTATTCTACATTTATACATTTTAGGCAACTAAGGCAAAAATGTAATTAATTCAGAAAAATTTTTCAGGACCCCACCTTGATGTTTCAGGACCCCACTTTGGGTCCCGACCCCAACTTTGGGAACCACTGGTTTAAACAATCTGATGCAAGATTTATGAACTATAAATACATCAGTTTGAGAAAAGAGTTTAATTCTTATTCGACTGATGAGCTAATGACAAATCTGAGTGGGGCAAACCACTCCAATTTAAAAAACGTTGCAGTGAACACGTTTTTAAGAATCGCTGACCCCCTCATGGATTTATAATTAGTCAAGCTCGCAAAGTCACGTTTGCATTTTCAGTATTTTGCAGATTTGTTTCATGGAACCTACCTACCATGAGTTGCAGTAATCCCAGTAATTTTGCGGAAACCAGTAAATGCAGTAAAGACAGTAAGGCAGTGGTTCTCAGGGTTTTCCATGCCAGGATGCCCTCCCAAACAGCATTAACTTCTGGCATGCAAATCCACAAACAATGCTACAAAATATGTCCAAGATCAACTTGTGGAATGTTTTTCACACGTTTATTTATTTAGCATAAGAGTTTTATTAACATGTTTTAAACACTATTATATTCCCACTTTATTATATTTTAGAATGATAAAAACAGATCAATTTCTTTATTTAAAACCTTTAGTAGATTATTTATTTTTACATTTTTGCCTTTTTTTTCTTATTTTCCCTCCAGCTTTCTGAGGCCTCCCACTTAAAAAACACTGCAGTAAGGTACGTGTTGTTTTTTTTCCTCATGCTTTTTCATAAAAAAAACTGAACAGTATGACTTTTTTCATTATTTACTATTAACATTAATTCACTTTCATGTAATATATATAAAAACACACACAATATGTGATGCATGCCCTTTGCACCCGGTTTCATTTCAGACCGCATTTCTGTTTCAGAACAGTTTACTGCACCGTGTGGCGTGTAGCTTCTAACTGTTTTGCTTTTATGTTCTAAAAATCTGCATTTATAGGCCTATTGTTGTTGGGTTTTTTTTCTGGACCATATCCACTATTTGCATTTTTTTTTTTTCATAATTCGTGTAACCTACATAAATTTCAGGGCTTCACTGAATATACTTCTTTCTGGAGAATTGCAATAATTCTACAAAAAATAAATTTATAGCTTGCCTTTAAAACTAAAGCTTCTAAGAACAAGAAGAAAATCTATAAAAATGCTTCAATGGTAAGTTTATCTGTTGAAGACGTCTTATTAAACAATAATTAGAAACAATAATTACTGACGAGCTAACGGCTAGTCCAAACAGGGCGAAAACCAAAGTGGACTGTTGTCGTCGTGAAAAACCTCTTCACTCTCAGACTGTTGTATATTTAATCTAAATTCTGTTTTATAAACTGCTGCCCAGTTCACATTATACAGTTTTTCACATTGAATGCACTTGTAAGTGCAAATAGCTGCAACAGCTAACTAGCACTTCAACAATTACAACAATGTGAAGGTTTAAAACTGGCATGTTATGTTATTTTTTTTTTAAAGATCAGAGTTGTTTTAGGAAGTCTGCAATTTATTTTAGTCTTGGCTCCACTCAATCTGGTCAAAAATAAACTGCATTCCTTTAAGCCACCCACTAAAAATTACAACAAATTAAGAGTTTGACTCTCTGTTCCGCATATTTTCATGCAATAATGAAATAATTGTTGAAAAAAATTAAACTAAACCCATGCTCCAGTCAGGAAACGATCATATAAAGATGACTAAACAAATGTTTTACTCAGTTTTTTAAATTTAAATCAGGATATGTATCTCCTGCTGTCAACTAAACCAACAAATATCTTTTAAAAGAATCACCTGTCATTAAAATATAATCAGATCAATTAATCTTTATTTTAATTAGATTGCTGCGGTTAGTGAATTTGACAAACTCCACGCAGAGAACGCTCCTGATTAAAAATAATAATAATAATCGTGGAAGATGAACATTAAAATGTTTACAGTCAAAACACCTGCAGGCTTTTTATAACGGGGACAGACATTAATGTGTTTGCATGCATTGCATACCAGTGTGTGTGTGCAGGTTTTATTCACACGCACACACAGGCCACCAGAGTGCTGTTAATTTCCGTTTGAGCCGAGGAACGGCCACTAAAAGTATCAGTGAAGTGATGAATGTGCTGCTCTGATCGGGCATCGGTGTTTAATCTGAGTCACAGGAGAAATAGCACCACATCAACTTCTAATGACTTCCTTTCATCTGCTGCTGGAAGCAGAAGAGTCACAGATGTGGACTCACACCCCTTTATGCATTTTTTATTTATTTTTTCTTTATCACATAATCTTTGTTGTGACCCCATTTGCC